AATTTCCATGAAATTTTGACGTTTAACCACTTTGGTTCCGGTAACAACAATTCGTGAATTAAGAACGTTAACTCATTCATGATTCATCCTCTCTTCTTAATGGACAAATGGAATAATGTAAGTGACGATAAGGCAATTCCTATGCTGAGGTGTTTCAGGCCTTGCTAAAAAGCCCTTCAAAAAAAATTTGTCACCTTCCCAATTGGTAATCCATTAGCCATGCCATAATCAACAAGACTAGAGAAGGCAAAAATGGAGGACTCGACATGGGAGCAAAAGCTCCAGGCTTTAAACTACATACTAACAAGCCCCACAATCTCACCGCCTCTCCACTCTTCATCTCCACACAAATCCCATGCTTCCTCAACTGGGATTTCCCCCCAATTCTCTGCAATAAACCCAACTCCGATGCCTTCCCTTCCCTCCACCTGAAATGGGGATTCTCTCTTTTCCTCAAAAGGGTCACAAGATTGGGTCTTCCCGAAACTTCATGGAGGTCCAAGTGCCCTTACAGCCAGCCCCCACCACTGATTCTGTCCAAGGGAGTGGATGAAGCTGAGTGGGGTGATGTCCAGAAAAAGGGGTATGTTACGAAGAGGCTGAGAAGGAAACGCCTAGGGAGCGATGTCAATCCTTTGATTCCGATTTTGGTTCCCGATTTTGGTTCCCGATTTCTTCTTGTTCTCTCTGCTGTTGTTCAATCCATTTCCTCTTAAAGATGAGTGACTAATTTCGTTATTCAGGGGTGTTTGGAGGGATGAATGTGGATTCCTATATGGATGGAATCTATATTTTCCCCCACATTCTTCGTTTGATTAGTCTGAAAATTTTATTTTTCGTAATGTAAGATTATTAATAGTGAATTTTTTGAGTATATTATCGAGAATGGCATTATCTCTCTTTCTTTAAGTATTGTTAGATTATCGATGTTTTAGACTAAAATGAACTTAATTTTTTTTTTAAATATTATTATTCTGTCATTGAATAATAAAAATTATACGAATGTTAAATTATAAATTTATTCTTAAATTATTTTATATTTAAAAAAATTATATAATTAAAATTTTATATAAAATTCAGGTGTTAAAATTAAATTTTATCATTTTATTAAATCTTTTTATATTTTCAATTTTATAAAAAATTATATAAATTTTATGAATTTAATTTTTTTTTAAAAAATATATAAATATTTTCTAATTTGTTAAAAAAACAAATATATAATAAGGACAATTTGGTCAAATATACATTCCAATAATATTTTATTCCTTTAACCAAACACGGTAATCTTACATTCCTGCTAAACCAACCAAACACAAAATATAACATTCTCAGTATTCTTATTCCCTGGTAATCTTACATTCCCACTGGTAATCTTACATTTTCACTAGTAATCTTACATTCCCACTAATAATCTTACATTCCGTGAACCAAACGTACTCTCAAAGTCGTGTAATAACCACTACATTCTTATGTTTTATTAACTTTCTTGTCAACGTTGATCGTCTTGTTTACTTTGGATATGGTTCTAGGAACACTGTTGTTTACCGTATAAAATCTGAATTATTGGCATTAAAAATAACAGATTAAAAATGTTCTTAAATTGAGGGGTTATAATTCAGTTTGCTTAATCAAGAATTTACCTTCCAGGGCCAAGTAAGTAAAGTCCATGACCCACCTGTTTTATTCATTAATCATCCCGCCCAAATCATCAACTATAATATTGGGTAACGTCGAAGCATTCCCATTTATTTATTTGTGCTCTTTAATGTTTCAACTTTCCACATGAATTTTCTGGACCAAAATCCAACTGCACTACCTGAAAATCTACCTCCTATAATTTAGTCAATCTGCCCTTGACTTTACATTTAAATTTTATGATTTGTTTAATTTGTCATTTTAATTTATATGACGGCTTTAAGTAGAGGAAAGTCAGACAATTTCTCTTTGATTTGATTTGTCTTATAGAAATATTATTTCTATGTCTGAATGTGAATTCTGTTGTCTATTGAAAATATATTTTTCAGAAATTCTGTGAATTTAGGAAAGTTAAAAAATATATTCGCACCAATCATGTTTGAAAATGAATCCCATGTTTCTACAGCTTCTACTTCACTACACTAACAATCACTCTACTTTCAAAAAAGAATTCACTCTAACTTTGGATTCTGCCTTTTCTTTTATGTTTAACTCATTTATATTTTTGATGCTCTGTAAACCTTTTTTTTCTTCCACATGGGGTAGGATTTGGTTGTCGGGTCGATACAATCCTTGGACGGCTGAAAGCTTCCTCAATCCCCACCGTTAATCAAGCAGCTAATCTTCACTTAATCCAAGGAGAAGGGAAAGAGAAAGCAAAAGTAAAAGCCAAAAAACAAAAGAAAGATATTCAAATAATTGGTCAAACACTAACGTTGACAGTAAAGCATTTTTAATTATAATAATTCCTTTTCTATTTGGCGACACATTTGGCGACCAACAATCAATTACAATAAAGACTATGGATGGATGGATCACAACTATCATCACGACGATGTTGCCACGCTTCTACTCCAACAATATTACGAAGCTGTAAATTCATATATTTATGGAAATAGAAAATACTACATAAAATTTCGTTAAAATAATTTAATCAATTATTTTAAAAAAAACCATATTTGGTATTATCTAAACCCAAATTTCATTTTCTTTACTCTTATATTGTCACTATCTTTATATGCTAAAACAAGAGACCAGAAAAAAAACCATGTTTCGATTAGAGCTGTGGACTTGTTTTGAGATTGCATCCGTTGATCTTCAATTTTCTATGTTCAGATCACAAACTGATCGAGGAGGCAGTTGGATGCATTTACATTGGTATTAGGGACATGTCCGTTTGGTTATAAAAGTTACATGTTAAAGGCTTTAATGGGATAAAATTATATAATTAAGATTATAATATTAGATTTTTTAAAATTAAAAATTCACATAATTAATCAACACATTATAGTCCAAATGTTGCAAAACTACATCCGCCACTGTATTTAGCAATGTGTGGGGCATGAAATACGCATGGCATGGAACTTTAAAGAAGGGACGGGGGCGGAGTGCAGAAGTTGTTGAATCCTCCGTGTAGAAAAAGGGAATTAGGTGTGTCCCTCAACTATATCTCATTATTTTGTGTCCCTCACTTTTACCATAACATTTAAAAAATTAAATGAAAATTATTACAATGCCTTTATTCTCCCATTAACCCCAGTTATAGGTAGGGTGTCCGCGGTCGGTTTGGATCGGTTTTTGGCTAAAAATGCATCCGATATGAAAGTATAAATGTTTGAGGTTTGGATCGGTTTGGATGCTTCTAAAAAAATCCGATTCGATCCGATCCAATTAAGTGCGGTTTGATTCGGTTTGGATTTGTGCGGATTTTGGATTCTAATTTTTCAAAATAATTCAAAGCAACAACACTGCCTAAGGGGTCAAACAATTCCACCATTTCACATCCTGAGCTAACATCGATCGAACAAACACCGTTGATGAGCATAAAAGGAACAATATCAGCTCCCAACTATAATCTCAGGCAACTCATCAAAATTGCTAAATCCATCAAATTTCAATTCAATTCTCAACTAATCTACATAGATCAGCAAAACAAACAGTAGAAAAAAAAAAAGAAGAACAAACACACATCAAGTTTGGCACAAATCTGTAAACAACTGTCCATATCAAACAAGATAAATACTAGAAATGGTAAGTCAACTAACATAATTAATTGCAATTGTTCATGGAAACTGTTTTCTAATCTCTTGCAGCAACATTTTAGAAAATAGAAATGGCTAATGCAAGTTAATTTAATTCTTATAATGCCCTAATTTGCATATAGATTCACTTGAATAATTTTCTCTTAGTAATTCACATTATAGTGTAATAGACACTATGTTGAACATTTCAAATAGTGTAACAGACTACACTTCATTATAATAGATATCGGTTCGGTTCGGTTTGGATCGATTCTAGATTTCTAAACTGAAACCGAACCGATCGTTTTTTTAAAAAAAAAAATCAAACACACTAAATCGGTTTCGATTTTTTTTTGTTATTGGTTTTTTTGATCGGTTTTCGGTTATTTTTTTTGATCGGATTAGATCTGAACACTCTTAGTTATAGGAACACGCAATTTTCCATGTTTGATACATTGAAATGAAATAAGTTAAACGATGACATTATAATACTTAGTGAACGATTGTAGCAAATGTGATAAATTATGAATTTCATTCTTTTATTTTTATAAAAAGTGAAAAGCCAATCCTTCGATTTAAATTTATTAAGATTTAATTATGATATTTTCTTAATTTTTTTATTGTTGAATTATCAATAATTCTTTACATGTAAATTGAGAATATTAATTTTTGGGTCAATGATTTGGCATCAAAATTTAATAATATTATTTAATTAAACTAATTTTTCAGTTTTATAAAATATGAGATCAAGTTTTGATAAATTAATTCAAGCAGAGAAGATGATAAATTGAAGTAGATAGATAAACTTCTATGTGTTTATAAAATTGAACTTTTAAATTAATAATTGCACTAATTATTAGTACTATTTTAAACCTTTTTTGACACACAAAGCCAAACATGCTTTATTGGCTATAATAATACGCCTTACATCAGACCCCAAAGAAATCAATTTAGGTCTCGCTTAAACCATACGAAATCCTCCCATGCAAATGATGATGGGAATACTTTATTCGTTGTACCGAGTGATATCTTAGTAAAATTTTAGAGAATATGTGGACACTTGCGGGAGGAGATATCGAGAGACATAGCCAAAAACATGTTTACCACAGTGGGGGGAAATGGGATCATTACAATAAATATCATTAACAACCAACATAAAAGAAAGGCCTCTTTTGCTAAAGCAGTGTGTCGTGCAAAGGGACCACAATCATCACCACTCCATCCCATTTGAACCTAATTGAGTTTATTTTTTTTACAATCCAGAAAAAAGGAAAACACAAGTTTGTCCCTTCTTCCTTCCTACATAAACACTTGGTGTCATCGCAATTTCTCATCACACACAAACTATAACGCAAAGCATTAGCTGCTTCCATGTCTTCCTCGTCAAAATTCATCTCTATCCTCTTCCTCTTTGCCTTCTTCTCCATGCAAATCCATGCCAGGGAATTCTTCAGCAAAATCCCAAGGGTTAACACCAATGAGAAAGAGACAACTACAACAAGAGAGCAAGAGCATGGGACGGAGACCACCCAAAAGTCAGAAGAGCAAGAGCCAAGGTTTGTTCCCGAAACCCAAAATGGTTACGGCCTTTACGGGCACGAAACAGGTGCAGGCGAGCCAAGTTTCACCACCAAAAAATCCTATGAACCCTATGTCACCCCTGTTAAATATCATCCCGATGAACCCTACAACAGCATTCCCGAATCCGGCTCCAACCTCAAAAACACTTACTACTTCAACAAGAACACCTACGAGTCCACTGAGAAGCAAAACTTGGGCGAGGCCAGCTTCACTGAGAAAGGATGGAGCACCAAGGAAAACCAGAACAGCAACTACTACAACCGCAACAATGGTTACATCAATGGTGAGAGACAAGGCATGAGCGACACTAGATATTTGGAGAATGGAAAGTACTACTATGACATGAAGAGCGAAAACTATTATCCAAACCAGTTCGACAACTCAAGGGGAGTTGCTTCGAGGAACGAGTTTAATGAGAATCGTTACAACAACATGGGAAGATACAACCAGAACCAAGAGGAGTTTGAGGATTCCGAGGAAGAGTTCGAGCCATGATCAGCTATTGTATACTGCTCTCAATTTGATGTATGATTTGTGAAGATCATCATGCAATACAAGCACTGGCTTTAATTAGATGTCAAGTATGGTAATTAATTAGGAAAAAAACAATGAAGAAGATAAAATTTTATTTATCGAGTCTTGCGGTTATTTTCTTGTGATGTATTTTTTTCTGGTTATAGTTCCTTTGCTTTGAAATGTTCAAGATTTGAACGAGTTGTGTTTTTTTTTCTCCTTTATCAAACAATTCTTTGCCTTGTTAAACTAAGATTCAAAAGCTTAGCCTTTCATGATAATATATATATATATATATATATATCCGTGAATGACGGATAAAATTTGGGCTTTATCTCTTTTCTCCAACTTTATTAGTGTTCTCAAGCTTTAACCTTTGGGAATCATCTGTCTTTTTTACTCATAATATATATGTATATGGTCTCAATGCAATATCCAAAACCTTGTAACCAGTAGAGGTCCGAATAGTATTTTTTGTTGGTGTGGAATGTGTTGGAAAAAAGAGTAAATTTTATTAATTGATTTAATATTTAAATTAAATTCATATCTCTTTTGAATATTCTAAATTAAAAGATATTTATTTTTTTAATTTGAATATTAGTATGATAATTATTTTTTTGAATATCTTAAATTAAAATGTAGTTATTATCTATTTAACTTTGAATATTAAAAGATAATTATATTATTTTGAATATTTCAAATTAAGATAATATCTATTTAAGTTTGAATGGTAAAAGATATCTATATCTTTTGAATATTTCAATTTAAAAGATATTATCATCTGTTTAAATTTGAATATTAAAATATATCTATTTTGAGTAAATCTCCCTTGAAAATCTCCTATAGATAGAGAGCTAATCTTCCGGGTTAAACACATCTTAGAATTTAAAAACTTCAAAAAATCTTGAAAATATTTTTCTTTAATTTTATAATGATATTTGATTATTATTATCATCATTATTTTTCTATATTATTCTCGGATTTAATGCTTTTGTCTAACAGAATATTCATAATAGTATAGATAATTGTTAGGGTTTACCAAGCAAGTTCTCTTTGATCGGAGATTATTAACAAAATTAAACCCCCAAATGGCCAGGCATAGACTCGACCATGGCCCCAGACCCAATAGACCACCAGGACCAGAACCCATCTTTTTTGGGCATGTAGATAATGTTCACTTTTCTTACCACGGCCGATGCGACCTCTTCTGCCTAGTGCATAGATTGGCACCTTATTTGTTTGTTTGTTTCAAGACATGGAGTATTAGTTTGAATAAAAACAAATAAGACGTCCAATTCGAAATCAATCCTCTTCAAACTTCAACATTTATTTATGTATGTTTTGTGTGTAATTACTAGTATATTTCTAAGAATTTCAATTTCAATTTATTTGGAGTAGATAATGTTCACTTTTCTTACCACGGCCGATGCGACCTCTTCTGCCTAGTGCATAGATTGGCACCTTATTTGTTTGTTTGTTTCAAGACATGGAGTATTAGTTTGAATAAAAACAAATAAGACGTCCAATTCGAAATCAATCCTCTTCAAACTTCAACATTTATTTATGTATGTTTTGTGTGTAATTACTAGTATATTTCTAAGAATTTCAATTTCAATTTATTTGGACATAATAGAGGTTGTGAAGTTAATGGTTCAGACAACCAAAACATTGATTGATTTGAACTTCTTAATTCCAAATTAATTTGTGCTTTTAAGTTAGTTTTGCAGAAAATCAACTTTCCCCTTGAAATATGAAACCACAGCCTTCTTTTGGTCTCGTGTTCCTGTCAATACCAGTTTCTCTTTACGTTTCACCTGTCAGCAATGCCTGCCGTTTACTTCTAAACCAAAACCCATGGCCTTCAATTTCAAGGAAACTAATCAACCAATGCTTTACTAAATTTTGGTTAACAAGTAAGATGACTTCAAAAAGGTTTGCTATTTAATGGGTTTTGGTTCCTTTCAAAATGCAGTTGTTCTGATTCGAGGGAAAGTTGAACAGAGTAGAATAGATCAAATACAAAATGAACGAAGAGTTGTGAATAGACAAGAAACAAGAATCCCATTTTCCTTTTTGTTTTCTAGCTTTGTTTAATTAGTATGATTACTCCATTTATGTGAACCCATTTCATTACTATTGAAAAGAAATAAATTAAAGTAAATAAAATAATGTGAATCCCCATAAGGAAATACTAGAATAGTGTCCTAACAGGCTAAAGGCACTGATTCTCTTGCTGCTTGCAAGATTCTGAATACTCGTTTTGTTTCAGCACACGTTTTGCAGAAAAACAAAGTTGAGTTCACATCTTTGTTTAATTCCCCTGATATGAGGTGTGTCCTGTTTCTTTAATGCGGCGGGTAAGTACTGTTAGCAAAATTACTATTCATGATTACGGATTAATACCTAACGGTATGCAATATTACCAACCCCTTTGCTTGTCCATGGATAAAAAGAAATAGAGATTTTTTGAAATATGGCGGTAAGTTGATGGTTAAAAAGTTGCTATTAATGACTAAACAGATGTGATTGTGAGACCAAAATAAGATAATGAAGTAGAAAATTTGGCTTATATTAATCAAGTCTCTCATGTGATTAGCAAAGCTGAAACTCATCTCCCCTGGGGCCCATTTCATTAATGTTTCCTTGTTTAAGGAAGAATCTCTCAGATGAGCCATATCCAGGACAGGTGCTCTTATTAACCATCTTAAAAGTCAGTCACAGGGATTTTGTATTCCGGTTGCCATTATATTTTGTGACCATCTTCATTTATACAGTGCCATTTTCGTTCCAAATCGTTTTTATTTTCTCTTGCTATTGGAGGGCTCAAGCCATGGCTGCTGAGGTAATAACCCTTCTTCTTATGTGTTTTCCTTTCTGTTGATCGTGCATGTGCAATCTTTTTCATGAATTTTTGTTCCGGTTGTCTAAGAATGTGCTTCCTTATTTTTCTTGGGTTCTTGCTTATAACTTCTGTGAGTGGAAATAGAAATTAATAAGATTTTGGCCTCTGGTATTGCTAATAGCAAACTACGGTTACTTCGATTTCTGCTGTTTACTAGAGAGAAACGGGGATAAGTATAATCTAAATTTTGAAAGCCTTTCAAAATAGTCTCTTTGGAGATATAAAAGTGTGTTTTCATAGCTTTTTCCTCATCCTGATTCATGAGATTTTATCTCAGTGCCTCTCTCTGGTTAGCATTACTGATCTGTGATTCCACCGACAGTCTTCCTTTTTGGAAGAAATTATATGAAAGTAGAGAGTGTAAACGGCGTCGTTGAAGAAATTCATGGTCGGTGCCGCTTAGAACTTAATCCATGCTTTTGATATTCTTACCGCATCATATGTCAAATAATGCAATTAGAAATCAGAACTGTTGGTGTTTGATGTACGAGTGAACGGGTGAGAAATCTTCGTTGGATCTTAACTAGTTACTTTGTTTCATCAGAATGGGACGGGCTTTTAGCTTGTGTTTGAAGGTGAAACTGACATTTTAAGGAAGGAAATCAGACAGTAAAATGTCAAAATCTTTCGAGTGTGCCCGCATTGTCATCCATCCCCCACATGGCCTTTACCAAACTTCCATTGTCCAATCTCTTTCAATTTTACCCATTTTTGCCACAAAAAAAAACTAAAAACTTGCTCGTGATAATGAATTCAAAGTTATGATTTGCTATTATATTTGAGAATGATGAACAATACACATTTGAGAGCTAAATATTGAATTGATTAATTTACCCAGAATCACGAGACGTCCAATGGGTGGCCACTTGGGCTACAAATAATGACCATGAGGCTTGGGTTACAAGAAATATACCATGGTGCCGCTCCAGCGGTTCCTCCAAGCAGTTTCTCCTCATTCTCTTCTTCTAACCTTGACACCGAGGTAATTCCAATCCCTTGCAATGAATATATATAATTATTTACCGATATATATGATTTCTTTCATGGCCAGTCCTCAGCATCGTTTTTCCAAGATAGCAGTGTATCCCTAGGGAAGCTAATCGGACGAGGAGCAGGTGATAGAGGACCACTGTATTTGCAAAACACAGTTCATACCCATCAAAGCAATAGGCAGTTGCCGGTTAAAAGGTTAGTCATTAACATCGCTTGTAAAGTTTTGACAAATCAGAAATTTGAATGTTAATGTGGCCAGCTTCGTTCTTGCTTGGCAAAAATCATCTTGCTGGTTTTATCCTCAATCACTGAATCAATCTACATGCTACCCTACACCGTGAACCAAGATAGATCCGAGTATCCGTTACAGAGGGGTCAGCGGTCAAGGGGGCAGTTTGGCCTTCTATTCAGTCAGGCAAAGGGTGTCGATGTTTGCATTTTGCCATTTGTTCCAGAAAGCGATGGCTTGACATTTTAAGAATGCCGATCTTGCATCATGTATGGCCACGTTAAGAAGGAACATCTTTCAATTAAATGCCATTAAGATTTGATATCACTTAGAATCAAATATTCAAAGAAGAACAAAAGAGCCTTGATGAAGCTTTTAAAGCAACGAAGAACAAACAGCTTGTAATAGAAAGACTTTACTATCAACATTTAAATTTCCAGATGCAATTCGATCACAAGAAAAGAAAGAGTCTTCTACATACTCGACTAGTACGTAAACTAGATGTTAAAAATTATAAAGCAGATGACCAACTATCAGCAAGATTTGTATACCAAACCCAATACTTTCACAATGAAAATTCTATCATAATAGCAATTCACTAACATTATGAAGAGTAAACGATTATCATCAGGCCAACTCATAAGACCTCCTTCGGGCATCTAGCAGCTTAGGTCCATGCAATCTCTATCATTCATCAACTACACTAACCAACTCATACTCGACAAGAGATAGATTGTTATCTTCTTTAACAACAAAGTTTGCAGGGTCGGTGACCTCAACGCGGCCCCATTTGTCAACCGCCACCCTCATAGAACCCTTAAACATATCAATCTTTGCATTACGAAAAATGATAGTGTCACCAGGTTTCATCAAGTCTACTGCAAAATGTCAAGCATCATATGTTGTTTAGACTAAGTAGATTCAAAATGTTGATAATGAGAGTATCAAATGCATTACCAAAAAAATGAAGGATTTAAATCGAAATTAAAATCCCATATCCGGTTTATTCAGTCACATTTAACGATTTGAACGCCAATTTTTGCAATCGTGAGCATGTGACAATTAGGGATTTGAATGACGAATCGATTCGATCACTAATTAGAGTAAGAATTTAGCTCACCCTGCTAGAGGTTTATTCCACAAATTAAGGATTTAGTCAGGAAACTCAGTTCACGTAAAATCATTGGTAGCTAGATCCTAGATTATATCAAAATCCACACAAGCACTAACAAAACAAATGAGAAAAAAAAAGCTTCTGAAATGCCGCTGTATTTCATATATGTAAAGCTGTAAAGCCAAAAAAAAACGAAGGAAAGGAATGGAAAGATCAGAGCTCTTGAATTGATGGATGAAATAAAATGTACCCTTTTAAGAGAACTAAGATCAGATCAGTAAAGCAGAAAACTTTTTAACAAATAAAAAATGGGGTTTAGAAAAAAGGACCTTGATCATTACGGGCAGTGAAGAGGATAGTGCCGGTCTCGTCTCCAACAAGGCACTCAGCGATGCGGGTTTGGCGGAGATTTCGAGAAGGGGCTCGACCCTTTTGAACGACCATATTTGAGGACAGTACCTTGGCAATTAAGGTGTGGCCATTGGTCCCTGGATTTAGCTGATCTACCTTCACAAACACTGGCTTTCTCTTCTCTATTGTTTTATTTTGTTGTTGCTGCTGCTCTTGTCCCTGTCGCTGTTGCGGCCCTGTCGTCGCCATTGATTCAAATGCTGTTCTCTTCTCTTCTCTTCTCCTCTCCTCTCTCCTCTTCTTTTCTTTTTCTTTTACAGAGCCTGGGGAGAATGAGAAATGGGAAAGCCCTAGATGTAGAACAGAAATTGAACCGTTCCTATTTTTCTCGAAAAAAAATTGTTTCGCCCTTTCATTAATGACTTAGTTAATTTTTCATATAATTTTTATTATATGGTATAATTTAAATAAAATTGATGTGACATTATCGTTTCTTCCTCTTTTATCTTTTATAATATCATAATTTTAATGAATAATTACGGTATGTCCATCAATAACTGACTATTAATTAGATATTCGTAATCACTTTTTTGTTAATTCATAATCGGGTACTTCAAGAACACGCGCAATAATAAGCATTTACAGGGTGTTACTTTGCCCAGAAAACACTGCATTCATTTCTAAATCTTCTCCAGGCTAGGGCATTAAAGTTTGCTTGGTAGAACTATAAAACTTTTAAGCATAACTCAAAAGAATAGACTTGTGTAAAGTGATACCATCCAGCTCAGTCAGTTGGTAAAACACAAAGTTCTTAACCTTAAGGTCGTGAGATCGAGTCTCATGAAGACTAGAGGTGTTGGGGACAATCTACTATCTTACCTCCTCTTACCCAATTACATATTAGAACAAATGACAACCATTTTTTTTTGTAATTTCAAATAAAATGGTGCATCAGTACATGCCAACATCTACTTTACAGAGCGGTACAAAATAATGGGTATTTTTCTCACATCAACATCATACTTTCTTCTGACATTATTGTTAGCAATGAATACTTGGCTTTAATTGAGATTCTGCCACCTTCTACACAAAGTTTGGCTCCAGTAACCACCCAATATCCAGGTGTGTCCTCAGCTCCTCTAACCATCTCCTTTGTGTCTACGAAGTTTGTCATTTTCGGTGCTTTTGGTGGTGAAGGTGGACCACCTGGAAAAACTGCTGAATTTAAGTCCACTTTAGTTGTTTTCTCGTTCGGATTCAGTCTTGAACTGAACCTTGTGCTGATCAACATTGAGAAGACTCCGGATTTCCGTGACTGTGTTGAGGGTCCGTCCCATTCTGATCTGCGGATCCTAGCGGAGGCCACCATGGAGAACCCAAGCCTCAGGAACAGAACTTTCCTCATTCCGACAACCTTTACCTCGAACCAAGCTTTGGTCACTATAGGAGCTGTATCATCAAAGGGGGATCCGTTGTAGTGTACAGGGGCGGTGCATACATGTGAGAATATGCTCCACTTAACAGGTTCCAAGTACCCACGTTCTGGCTCATCGATTGATTCATAGCTGTGATCATATGAGAGCTGCAGGGATGTAGGTAGAGTTGAGAGATGCTGAAGATGGATTGCTAGATGGTCACTCTTCTTACCCTCCAAGAATAGGCGTATTCCTGTCACAGGTCGGTTTCCGGTATCAACCTGCAATTAGCAGATTTGGAACTTGGGAATCAGTCAAATGAGAATAATCACATCACATGCATGAGTTCTGCAGATACATTTTGATTATGGCAATCATCCTGTAACATCATGATCATGAAGAATATTTCCTAAATTACATGTGAAGACTGGTCGACATTGTTTTCTAACAGGATAACTTTGTTCTTAGCGTAGTTATTTGACCCCATTTAAATGTTGCATGGGTAAAAGGGGAAAACATTCAATTCGTATTACGAGTTAGCGGAGCAAGCACTTTATAAACATGTTCAGAAGCTTAGATGACAAGTCAATTAACAAACTAAACACCAATATTGTCTAGAATAGTAAAAAAGTGAGCTGCAAAATTATACCCTTGCAGTGTTAACATAAAGCTTAGGCCCCATAAAAGTGAACTGAAGTGAAGGGGATGCTTGTTTTCTGCGCTTGAGACCGAGAGGCAGATCACAGTATATGGGAGCCCATTGTCGAGGTAATTGAAATTCTAGAAATACATGGAGTTCCTCTATCGGTGGTTTATCTGCATGATATCATCAATCATTAGAGGTAAAATCCGTGCACGATATAACAAAGAAGGTGCCGTAATATGATTTGTGAAAACAATGATCTTTCGTATACACAATCTTTCACACAATAGGAAACATGGCAATCAGTGTCTGCAAAAACTTTAATATTTTAATGTACTTTTTTATTTATTATGGATCTTTCAAAAGCATAAACATTAAACAATCTCATCTTTTACAAGACTTAGCATTAGAGCAAAGTGTCAAAGTATGAAACTGCAATTCAAAATCAAATAAATGCATTTTCGAAGTGTTAATATGTGAATGATCTAAATCCCAATTAACAAGGGAAAATCCAGTTTGCAGAAATCACTCATTTATAATGCCACCAAGACATTTAGCCTTGGAAAAGATCAAATTGACTGCATAAAAATTATGCAAACTCACATCGTAGGTACAAGTTCACTGCATGGCTTAAAAATCCATTTCCCCGAGCACCGCTTAGTAGAGAAGTAATAGGCACAAATGCCATTGAAATGACATTTGGTGATTGTGATATTGTCGATAGCCACTGGCTATGACTTTGACCAAAATCAATGCCTCCCCTTCGAATATAGATATTCATAGTGTCCTGCAAGACCCAAAAGTACAAAAATCAAATCGAGTCACCTCTACTGAAAGCACCTTGTTTCTTTACAGGTGCAATTCCTAAACAACAGTTAAAATAGGAACTTACATTATTCTTTGAGCAAGTAACAACAGGTGGCCTAATTGATCCAGCGAGCACCCTTTGAAGTTCCCAAGGCATACAAGGTTCTTCCTAAAGCAATCAATGAAAATAAAGTTAGAAAAGAAAGGAAAAAAGGCATTTCCGAAGCCCCAATGATGGTGCTCTTTCATGAACTATAATATGTAATATGTTGACTAATAACTAATTTGAACCGTAATCCCTCCATCGGTTATATGGCATTATCTTACCTCAATTACTTCTTGCCAAGAAAACTTAAGAGATACAGTGCATAGTGGACATTCCCCGACAATTATCTAATAACAATAGTTTTGTCTACCATAGAATGCAAACCAACCGGCAGTTTCAGTCCGTTCAGGCTTTTTATGGTTGGTTAAGTCAGTTTAGATGAAAAAAACGACCCAATAAACCGATTGCTCTCCCCTAATAAGCATGCACATACCTTTTGTTTTTCCGAGAATTGAGGAGTTCCTATATTTTCTGAAAATCTCTCATCAGCCAACTGCTTTAAAGTTTTCTGCACTTCATTTGGCTGAAGATTCGAATTTTGTAATTGCTTAACATGTATAACATCTTTACCTCCCATTTTAACCCCAACAACAACATGAGTACCGTATTTTTCGATGAACCTGGTAAAAAACAGAATTGGCTCTGATTTAGTGAAGAATATCAATACCAACACCCACAATTGACGCCAGTGAGAGCACTAAAGTTGTAAGTGCAATTGCTTAGCACAAGTTATTTTATAATTGACTTACTCGGCAATGGCAGCAGGGTCCCATGTAGTAGGCACCTCTTGTTTCACACGCTCGGACAAAGTTATGTTTGTTCTTTCCAACTCAACACTGTACAGTGTTAGGAACAAACCATCCAGGGCAAGATTTTTTGCGGAAGTGGCATCCTTCTGCCAGCAGCCCTTGAAATCGAACATGGCATTGAATAAGCCCGAAGGAATCTTGCCGGATAATGATAGATCCTGGTTGAACTTTTCCGACATCTAGCACAAGATGACCCCCAAGTTAAATTGCAAAGACAGCAGCACATAAATCATGAGGACAAATTTAATAGTACACTGTGAAAAATACAATTTTATATAAGAGGACGAATTTATAAAATTTTAAAGAATAAATATAAAAATAGATTGTTTACTAAAAAATTAAAAAAAGTATTTAAATTATATGAAAACTTAGATTTTTTATGTACGACCACCCGTGAGCCCTCTCAGTCCATCCCTTATCGCCAAACAACTTCCAAATAACAAAGCCATGGAGAACTAGCAAAAGGACATAATAAACAAGAAAAATAAGGTAATAAGAGCTCTTTTGAAAACTCTGGAACTTTCCTTTCCATCATCAACAAGGCAAATTGTGTACTCTGAACATTGAATGGTATTCAAATTTTGCGAAAATTTCGTTTTCAATTCCAGATCTTCACCAAACAGAACACATAGCAGAAACCGGAATTAGCAAACAAAAAGTCAAGCTTACCTGACTAAAAGAAAGAACATCAGAACGAAACCTGGTGCGCTCGCCTTTATCACATTTAATCGAACTGGGCACATTTTTTACAACAATCCCACCAGGAAAAACCAGGTCCCGACTAGCTGCCGAGTCAAGTTCGATCAATCTCGAGCCAGAAGGGCCCGGCAGGCAAGCTGAAAGCCTGATATCCTTGGAGAAGTCGTACCCAAATCCGATAACGGAAACCGCTTTTTCAGCCGCTGATTGAGGGTCCATTTGATAGAGATTACCGGCCATGGGCTCCTGATTAGACGGTAGTTGGTCTTGCGTGAGGAGCTGGTGAAAGTGAGCTTGTATTGTGGGGTTTTAGGAAACTGCCGAAGAAGGGTATGACCCATTGAAGTGGTCTTTGGTCCGAATTTTTTCCTCGATTTTTAATTTGGAAAAACAAATATTGCCGGTGTCTGAGAAAAAAGAGCTAAGAGTCCAAGTCTTGTTGGAAACTTGTGACGTTTGACTCAATAGTTCAGACAGAGTACTTACCAGGCAGCTGCCGCGGAGACTAACTGAAAGTCTGAAACTGCCTAAATGTTTGCCACGTGGAGACGTGTTTAGAATACTCCAGCTCTTTGAATATTTAAGAGTAAATGATACATTTCATCACTCAAATTTATTTTCACTCCTATTTTTCTCACTAAAGATTTAAAACTTTCAATTTATTCATTAAACTTTTTATTTATTCTTATTTTGATCACTCTTCTGATAAATACTTAATGATGTTAGGATTGGACATTTCTTTTGAAATTATGAAATCACTCTAAAATTTCTTTTATTTTTTTTTTGAAAATAATTCAATTTTATTTTTTTTATTTCTCAATGATAAAACAACTATCTACAAATCTCAATGTTGAGGAAGTGGAGAACGAAAAAGCAAGTTGTATATCTTAATTTCACATTGATCGAATGATCGAGATTCTAGGTCATGGTAGTTTGGGATTTTATGAGTTTATGTTTGAATTTTATGAATTTTGAAGTGATTTAGGTAAAATTTAAACTAATAGAGTAATAGGAGAATAACATGGGTTATTTGATATCTTGAGTGGTCAGAGAAGATGTCAAAGAATAGTAATTACATCATCGACATACACACAAAAATGAAATTGTAAAACTTTCATATTTGGAAGAAGATAAAATAAATAAAAAAGAAAATAAAAGGAAAAATGAAGTGGATAACATACAAAATTCATATTAATAAAATGTTATACACATCGGCACACATGAGTCACATGACGACCATGTCACCCTTCTATTTATGATTTGACACCTAAACGATCAAAATGGGATCAAATCAAAAGTTTAAAGAGTAATATATAATGATTAAAATAATAGTACAAATACAATTGAATGATGAAATTTATAATTTACTCAATATTTATAAAAAGAAAACACGTTTTATTATTTTCTAATATTATTGGGTGATTATAATGTAGACGTAGTTGCTCGAATATATACCCTGCAGACGTAACTACTCGAACCTAGGACCTTAAAGGAGAACAATATTCTCTTTAACCACGAAGACCGCTCAATGTATTCAAAAATAAAATAAAAATGTTAATTTCACCATATGTCCTCATAGTATGACCCTTATTTTAAATTGGTCTCTAAACTTTTAAATATTATAATTTCATCCCTAAACTATGACTATCATTCTAAATTGATCCTAACCTTTTGAACATTTAAGTTTCATTCCCAAACTATGATATTCATTCTAAATCGGACCCCAAACGTTTTGAACATTCTAATTTCTTCCCAAACAATATAAAATTAAGTAATTTATATATTTAAAAAAGTTATATTAAATAATTCTAAAAATATATTAATTAATTTTTAAAAATGTTTATTTAATTTTTAAAATCATATTATTTATTCATTTTAAATAATATTATTTAATTTTTAAAATGTTTTAAAATATTTATTTATTTATTTTATTATATTGAACTTAATACTTACTTATATCATTATTAAATTAAAAGATGCCATTAACTATTTAATTTTAAATAAATATTATAATATTATAATAAATAAATAAATAATGTGTTTTTTTAAAATTAAATAAATTAGTCTTTTAATTTAATAATAATATAAGTAAGTATTAATTTCAATATAAAAAAATCATACTATAATTAAGTAACTAAGCTTCCAGTCATTAATTTAAAATGTCTCATATTTGAATATTATAATCATAAAAAATATTTATTTTTTTTGGTGATATCATTATATAAGTTAAATATAAAATATGATGAAATTAACTTAAATGACTAGCTTAACTCAATGGTTGAGTGTTTTGTATCTCATGCAAGTGTCCCAGGTCCAATTGATGTTGGGAGCAATAATGTTTTTTTTATCCTCATATATGTTGACACATATACTGACACATAAAGAGAAATGTGATATGATTTTTTTTTTAAAAATCACATGTATGCCACTTCAGCATCGTCGTTAAGTTTTTAACAGTGAGATATCTAATTGAAATTTAAACTAAATGTTAGGTATGATTTTGAAAAATAAATAAAGTTTAGATACTAAAACGAAATAAAAGAGATAATTCAGGTACTAAATGTGTAGTTTACTCTTTTAATATTTACTAAATAAGAACAATTTAATTAATGATGTGTTTGAGTGTATCATATTAGTGGTGTATTTTGTTATACAACTTGCACTGTAGAAATTTTCTTTAAATGATAGATTTTTTTTGTGAATTTTAATTATTTTTTCAATTGTTGATATTAATTATTTTGTTTTATATAAAAAATATTACTTAATAATAAAATATTTAAATAATATAAATCATTAAATGATCTTAATGGTAAAAACTGTGTTTTTCCCTTTAGAGATCTCATATTTGAGCAACTGTTATATAAAAATAAAAATTATAAACATTATAAAAATATAAAAATGATTAATGTTAATTTAACAAATTTATTATTTGTATGTTCAGTTAATTTGATTAAAAATTTTAAGGTAAATTACATGATTGATCACTTTCGTTTAAACTTTGTACATTTTTTCTCATCGAATTCAGAACACATAATATTCGTCATTTTTTTTATTTAATTAAGATGTAGTCATTAAATATTAATTGTCGTTAAACTTTTAATAGATTGTTGACGTGACATAATGAATATATAAAATTAAAAAAAAAATTACACAAATGATCACTAATATTTTAGTATGTTTTCGTTTTCCGCACTAAAATTTAAAAAGTAACAAATTGATCGAGGTCATTTTACAGTATATGCCCGAGAATGATCCGAACCGATAAAAAACTCCATCAGCACTAAAGGAAGCAGTCGAAGCATTGCCGGCTGTTGTTATCAAAGACAATTTGCAGTTTGTATGTTTGGGGTATATTGAGATTGGAACCCAAGAGAAAGACATGCCGTGTAAGCATAAGTTCAATGGGTGCATCCTGTTACTTTCTTTCCTTTAATTCTGATGACAATATTTCTGGACTAAGCCCACAAAAGAGTGAAGAAATCACTGTTTTTTAAGTATATTAAACTGGTTTTGTATCAAACTCTGGAACAGACGAACCCTTGAAAAGCAAAATGGTAAGGCTGCCAATGCAAAAATAAAAGAAACACCTGGAGCTGTGTCACGAATGAACCAAAATGGGTTCCCACGATGCATTGACACCCACCTCCATATGCTCTGTCAAATTCCTGCACCAAATACCAACGCGATTTTCAGTTGTTTTGAATGGAAAAAATATCACATGTACTTGTTGTCTCACATTCTTTACGAATTGCATTATCCCGGTAGCCTCGGTGACTTCGAAGAAATACAGGGCTTTAGCAGCTAGATCAAGAGCATCATGCTGCATGGTTTGAAACATATCAGTGTCTGCAATGACTGCTTTGCTTTCAAGCATGACTGATATGCAACAAATTCACAAACGGTTGTTTTTGAGCTGATAAAAATGAAGGAAAAGAAGCCTATTTAAACACCGAGTTATGGATGAAATAGAAGTGGTGGCAGGGATCGTTTTTCAGTTTTGGAAATGAAAGATTTTACATTGTATGGCCACCGATAGATTAGATTCTATGGGATATACTGTGATGAACCATCTTGATTGTGCAGAACTTAATGATCCTCTATGTTGCAGACACGCAGATAACTCTTTTGTGTTGGTGAGGTTTCGTATTGGTTCTGATCATTCTCGGACATATATTGTAAAATAGTCTTGACTAATTTGTTATTTTTGAAACATTGGTGAGTAAAACGGAAACTTAATTAAATATTAATGAACGTTTGTGTAGTTGACCCCCTTTTAATTTCACATCAACAATACGTTAAAAATCTAACGTAAGTTAATTTTCAGTGATCATATCTTAATTAAATTAAAACGAAAGTGACCAAATATTATATTTTCTGATTTCAATGAGGAAAAGTGTACAAACTTAAACAAAAGTGATCAATCATGTAATTTACCAAAAATTTTAATATAAATTATTAATGGTGAGAAATTTTCAAAAGTTTAAATATTTTTTTGAGAAGTTTAAAGGTAGAAGAATGTTGGTAGTCAAAAAGAAAGGACATAGCAGCGAGGAAAAGTCTATTAATAATGAAAATTATATTAAAATTTTAAGAGATATAAAATTATAATATTTTATAATACAAACAATTAAATTATTGATGAAAATATAAAATATTCAAATAATATAATGTTTTTAAAAGCTCTTGAGAGTACAATCTCCCTTTAACACTCCTTTCGATGAATTCCTACTCCTTTTGATGAATTTCTATATGGATTTAGGGTGATCCTTATATGAAAATTTCTCAATGAGCATGTATCTTTGAAATGTAATTTATTTTTTCTATAATTATCATGTCAATGACTAAAGCTAAAATTGATACTAAGATTTTTAACTATGAATCATTTTACGGGAACCAGGGACATCCATTTTTATAATATAATATAATATATTAAATGTTATTATAATTTTATTAAATTAGTATAAACATTAACTTTTTATAATATAATATAATATATTAAATGTTATTATAATTTTATTAAATTAGTATAAACATTATCAGACATTTATAAATCTTACGAAATTCGAATATTAATTATTTAATTAAACTTTAAACCATAAAAAATTGCTAATTAAGGCACTAAAATATTAAGTATTCATGTTAAGTCTTATATAGGGATGGGCATAGGACCTGAAGCCGACAGATTTTGGATCAGATCGGATTTTTTTAAATTTTGGTTCGAATCGGATCGAATTTTTTTTAATGATAGTGTTTGGGTCGGGTCGAGTCATATTCAGATTTAGAGTGAAAATACCCAACCAGGAAAAAAATATTATTTTACATCATATATTTAAAATAATTACAAGAATACCCTTATATATATTCAATTAAATCGTTTTTTATTAAATAAAAATAATATTTTTTATTATTTCGAGTCAGATTGATCAGGTTCAGATTTTATTTTAAGAAGTCGAGTTAAACCAAGTCAGGTGGAGGGTATATATTATGCGGATCGAATCAAATTTTAGATGGATGAGTCATTGTTCTTGAATCGAATAAACCAAAAATCTGATCCAACCCATCCCATCTTATCCCTAGTCTTATACACAGATCATTAGTAATTGCCAATCAAGACGTTGAAATCTTTAGTCGTGATCAAATAGTATCATGCATAAGAATCATAATATTTATTCTGATTTAAAAATAAATTTCAATTTTCAATTAAAAATTTTAATATTCTAGAAATAGGCGTTGATAATGTATTAACCATAGTGCTATTCTTAATGCTACAGGAAAACAGCTAAGCCCCGGCATCTTATATTTTTACTTGAATTCAGCTAGATGTTTGCGCATTTGTTATTTTTCAAAGACTGTAATTTCTAATGGTAACAAATTGGTCCCCCATCACGCCATTTTCATCACCCTCTTTTATTGATCAAAGGTGGGTCCAACAATGGTACCATGAAAGCTAAACGTTATCCTGTTCTCCCACTTCAATAATATCATGATGAACCAAAAAATAAATTTAATAAAATTAAGGCTTTGATTAAACTAAAATATCTTTACTTACGCACACCATTACAAAACCCCCATTACATTTCTTTGTTTATTTAAGTAATACAGCTGCCGCTCACGGTCGGATATCGGATGACAAAACATCCGTTAACCACCGTGGGCTAGCACACCCTTGGTCATCGCTGTTAAAACACCTATTACAGAAACTCGAGACATGATCAAACTAACATTAAAACAGGCACCGTTAGCACAGTGAGATTTAAAAAGAAAAGACACTATTTACATGCAACCGTGGTTCACGAGAGCAGCCTGCTAGCCGGCCGGCCATGAGTCGCCACCCACTCAGCGATGCTTGCTCCTGGTCTCCCCACTGTAAAGCCTGTCAATCGCATGCAAACCGGGTACTTTCATCTTAGTACACTTTTAGTTTTTATACCCAGAAATCAGATTCAGAATCCTCATGAAATCGATTTAAAGTTTATACAATTTTTGTTCCTTTTAAAACACCTGATCTTATTTATTTAAAGCCATTCATCTTAGTTTTTCTGAAAAAAGTTTTGATTTTTTTTTATTATAAGTAATTAAGAATAAGAAACAACTAGTGTTGTACCATATACAAGTGTGTATACTGATCAAAAGGAATTATTTCCACGCAGCGACCAAACAAAGAGCCAAGTTTTCCTTCCTTCTCTGTCTCTGGGCCTCCGTTTGGTTGCTGAGAAAACGTTAGGGGAAAAAAAGAACAAACACAGGAAATTCCTTGAGGATTCTGTTTTAAAATTTCTTAATTTCATTTTATTATATATAATAACATAGGGAAAAAGAAGTAATTATCCAGTTAATGTCACCCTTGCCATCATTATTTTGAATTCATTTATCTCAGCAACCAAATATATAGAACAGATCAAGTGGTACGAGGTACGTACCAGTCATAGACGGTAGGAGAGTTAGGTTGTGGCCGGTCGAACATATCAGCGCCAATACTTTTAGTAGCGAGGTTGCTCCCAGGATGGAAGACGCTCCTCCACACGTTCTCCTTACGCGGCGTCGGAGTCGTCGGTGTCACGGGTGTCGGCGGTGCCCCTGGACTCATTGGCATCGACAACGACCTCTGGAACCTCTTTCCTTCTCCTTCATCTAACCAAAACATATATATCAACTCTCCGTCGGTTGCTCAAAGACTCACTAAAACTATGAACCAAATCCATGCATGTTAATTATTAGGATCATTTTACCTTTGATGGACAAGGGCTGGGTGGTGATCTTCCTAAGCCTGCCGAGACCACGCTCAGGTTGAGGCCCGGCTAGAACATCGTCCCACATTTTATCTAGCAGAACCATTTTCTTCCCTTTTTGCTCTTGTCGGAGATGTTTTTGATGGGTTGGGATCTATTTGGTCATATATTATATAGGGGAAGTTTTAGCTGAAAATATCTTTCCACAATGAAAATGAATAATTGCTATTTCCAAATATTATATAAGTATGTAAAAGTTATGAATTAGGTTAAAATCAACGGTGATAAAATAGTGGCAATAGAAGATTGAAGAGTGGACATAGGAACTCATCCAAAGGAGAGATGGATAAGGATGAGACTGAGCGAAAATTCGGATGAGATCAGTAGGTTGATTCAAAAAGTGCAACACTTATGTGCAATTGTTTGTCGTATTCTCTAGACCATTACTAGGGGTAAAAAGGAACCATGTGCTTAGAGATGGACACCTAGGTCCCATTTCCACTTTCTTTCTTTCTAAGAATCATGATCTTGTCTGGGTAATTACGTATTTGTTAGTGTACTGCAGTACTAAGTACATGTATTTTAAAATTGTTTGGATGAATTTATATTTGAATAATGCACGCTTGCGTGCTAGAGTTGAGTATATGGATTAAGGTCCGCGGTTACCCGTTTAATTCGTTATTTGTGTGGGTTTCGGGTCTTAAAAATTGAAGATCGTTTAAATTACGGGTTTTTTAGTCTGGACCGTTAAATCCGTTGGTTTAATGGGTATATCCGCGGGCTACCCGTGAAATCCGCTAAAGTCTGCTTAATTTAAAATTCATAAAATTTTAGATAAAATAAATTTAAAGAATTTTATAGAAAAAGAAAATAAATTACCTATAAATATAATGTTACTTATATTATTGTAGTTTTTAAATTTATTAGGGCGTTTTTCATAATTTTACTGATGTTTGATATTTTTTTCATTTAAATATACATCATTATCATTTTGGTATTTAAATATTTTTTTAATTAATTTTGACTTTTATTTTTTTTTCATGAAGTATGTTATCTATTTTGTTCTTTAATTATAAAAAGTAACGTAATATTCTAATAATATATCACATGACACGTAATATTTGGATTAAAAATAAGAAAGAAAAGTAAAAAAAAAATTGAAAACATATTTTTCAACTTTTAAAGACTTTTACAAAATAAATATATTTTAACAAATTAATGACTTATATTTTATCAATTTTAGTATAACTGTATCTTTTAAATTTACTCTTATATTGTAAGTATTTTATTTTATATTTTCATATTATGTTTTAGGTTTTCTATAAAGTATCCATAAAATAAAATTCTTAAGACCACTTGACAACTTTCTTATTAGATTTGTATAATGTTTGATTTTGTTGAATTTTTATGTTTGAATTTCTGCTTTTAGAATTAAGACACTTCTGTGTCTTCATATTATAGCCTTGAATAATCGTGTTTTATAAAAGTATAATGTAGTTATTGTTTTATTTATTTTCAATTTGGTGATATAAGTGAATATTGTTTTTTTAATTTAAGTTTAAGTAATTATATCATTATATATATATATATATATATATATTAATGATTAAAAAATTTTAAAAATATATTATTTTATAATCATTTCCATCTATTTAAAATAAAAATTAAATATTATTTATTATTTTGACGGTGCTACCTTCATTTTTAAGTTGCTCGATCATTTTTAAAAGTATAATAAGTTAAAACATTATTTTTTATTGCATTTAAAGCATTTAAAATTATTTTTATTAAACGGGCGGGTAGCCCGTATACCCGCGTGCCAAAAGTTTTGTCTTTTGTCAAAGGAGAGTTTGGCAGTGTAAGGATCTGAACACCGAATCTTAAGAAAAAATTTCTCTGTTCTTATATGATGTGTGTATTCGTCATATTAAGCAATGTGTATGGCTTGTCTATTTAACAAATGTTATATCAAAAAGATTAAAGAGAATATTTTTTTAAAAGAATCTGTATTTAAATAGTTTTATATATATATATATATATATATATACTATTAGTCAACTAAATCAGAATGGATATTATATTATAATTATCATATACTATTAAAATAAAATCCAAGGACAACATTTTCTTGATAGATGTATCAAAAAATTATTAAAATAATTTTTTTATTATAATTCAAAAACCAAATGAGATATTATTGAAAAACTTTAAACGCTTAACAGCACTGTGTCAATTTTATAATAAAATTCAATATTTGTTTTGTAATTTTTAAAAACTCAGTGACTAAGAAAATCATCTTTGAGACAATTTAATCACCAAATTTAAACTTTACCCTAAAATAATTAAGAAAAGTAAATAAATAAAAGACTCCAATAGGGTCGCCCCCTTAAAATATAATTAAAAACTTCCAAAGTAATCAACTGAAAATAAATTATGTGATAATTTCTTTAGAGAAATGATTTTCATAAGAAATTGGAGAAAGAAATCCATACACTTTTATTCATGGGAACTTGAAGATGCAATTCTTTATGCCATTATTTTGTTGGGTTATAATCCAAGTGCCACTCCACGAGCTTGTTCTCCATACTTCAGCAAATAATGGCATCAAAATCAGACAATTTGTTTAATATATCCGACTACATATTAAGACTATGCCATTTGGCAACTATTACCGAATGAAACAAATGTAGCATACCGCTAACTGAAAACAATAGATATGGTTACCCTTGCTGGTATCCGCAGCTCATGCAATTGCAACGAGTGAAAGATTCTCTTCTCGTCGAATAACAGCAAAATAGACCCATTAGGTTTCATTAAAATCTAAAAATAAGAGAGATTGGCTCCTCGTTTTACTTCACCACTAATTAACAGACAAGTGCCTTGAGCAAAATAAGTATTTCACCCTATGAATCTCCTACTAAATGGATGAAGACGATGTAAATGTCATCCGTAAACACAGAAATCTGAAAACAATAGCCAACAGAACAAGTTAAAAAGATGATCAAACTGCAGTAAACCAGCATAAGAACTGTCGGGTATTTTACATCAATTTGAACCTTAATCCTGAACAATAAGGGACCAAAAATATCTATATTTTCCAAAAAACCATAAACATGAAGGTTGAAGAAGTCCACGAGTTCAATACCAGCCACATAACAAAGGTACTATGAAATAAGTTAAAACTGTTCTAGAACTCATACCTTGAATCCATAACTATGAAACGAGTTCATAAAAAAAACTGCAGGATACTATGAAATAAATTAAAACTGTTTTAGAACTCATACGTTATATCCATAACAAAGGTTGAAGAAGTCCACAAGTTCAATACCAGCCAAAGGAGTCCCATTTATACGTTTCAAGTGATCTTCCATAACCTTCAATTCAGAACAAACGTAAACTATCAATTCAATGTTCCATTGGACTTGCAGGAAGTTTAACTTAAGCTCCTTGGAAGATTTCTTGGTATGCATGCGAAGAATATCAACCTACTCTCTTACCTTTATATCAACTAATAGATAAGCCACATGAATTGTAAATTTCTTTCTACATACAACTAATTAAAGAAACAAAAAAATTAAATATGAAACGATTTCAAGAGAATCCCGAATAGTTCCATGATTATCATTTTAATAGTTGAACATATCATTGTTAGGAATTCCATCAGAAAATGAGCACAAAACTGTACAAATACATAAGCACTCTGCCTCTCAAGATTTTCCGTATTTCTCAATATATCCCTGCAAAGAAGATTTCAAAAAATAAAAAATCTCAGTTTGATAAATGAATTGCATAAAAAATAGAAATAGTAAATAGCAGTAAACTTTTGATTGAGAAAGCAATATCCACGCTTAAAAAGATCTGAGTTTTGTATGGAGAGGAAAGTTGGGGTTGGTAGAAGTAATAGCAAATGTATCATCTAGATCACGCCTAGTATACACCCCCCCCCCCCAAGTCAAAGACACTTACCAGAACAAGCCTTTGCTATTTTTAGTTGGGATGAAGAAAGATACTGCTCAACTGATTTGAAGGTTAGTGGAATTTGATGAGGCTGAATGGTACCAATAACCTTGTCAGCTGGTTTTTTTTACTATTCTATTATGAACGTCTTTACTGAGATGTCCCTCGTGCCAAGTTGGTTTCAAAATTTCTTTAATTAAATCTACAAGAGCAGTGTGGAAATGCCTCATTGCTTTAGACTCTCTGAGTGCATCACCATCTGCCTTATGCTCAATATCTGTTTCATTTTTTTTCTCCAACTCTATCTACTTTTAGGTCTTTTCTGTATCCAAATCCATCCCTTTTATGTCTAGCATCACGATCAGTATCGATTTTTCTAGTCTTTGAAATGTCTTTGACATGAGAAGCAACTGAGGAAATATCTTCTTTAGCCAGTGTCCCATTTTGCATATCAGCTGCATAGGTCCCTTCATTTTCATCAGTTGTTGAATGTTTCCCATAAGTGTAGCAATTGCCATGGACCAAATTTTTAAGGTTTCTAGCTTGGGAAGATGCAGTTCTTTTATCAGTTTTACATTCAGGGGCCAATGGCCCTGCCAATGCAGAATCACAGCATGTCAGTGGATAAGCTACATTCAGGAGGGATGGGTCTTGACAACAAAATGAAAATTTAAGATAACCCTTTCCTACATTTGACAAATCAATGCTATCATAAAGAGGATCATACTGGCGTTGTGGGGATGATGGTCGAAAGGGCACCGATGGTTCCCAATCGTCTGAAGAAAAGTTTATTCTATATTCAGCAAAGTGAAATGGATCCCTAGCAATATCACTGATAGGAAAGATTTCCGGTTCACAATTAGCGAAGGGAGAAGAGCCTTGAAGCAAAGAAGACAGCCAGGAAGAATGGTGTTCTCTGTTATTGTCCGACATCTTTTGGGTACCAAGAGAACATGCACTTTGAGAAGAACTTAAGGGTGCCTTTGGTTCAGGTTTGGTTTACGGAATGTAATATTACCAGTGGGAATAAAAGATTACCAGGGAATAAGATTACTAGGAATGTTGTATTTTGTGTTTGGTTGGTTTAGTAGAAATGTAAGATTACCGTATTTAGTTAAAGGAATAAAAGATTATTGGAATGTATATTTGACCAAATTGTCCTTATTATATATTTGTATAATATTATAAATTGTAAAATATTTATATATTTTCTTTAAAAAATTAAATTCATAATATTTATATAATTTTTTTACAAAATTAAAAATATTAAAAAAGGTTTAATGAAAGGGTAAATTTTTTAACCCCTGAACTTCATATAGAATTTTAATTATAGATTTTTTTTGTAAATCTAAAATAATTTAAGGATAAATTTGTAATTTAACCTTCGTAGAATTTTTATTATTCAATGACAGAAGAATGATATTTTTGAAATAAAAAAAAATTAAGGGCATTTTAGTCCAAAACGCCGGTAATGTTACAATACCTAAGGGAAGTGAGGTAATGACATTCCCGGTAATATACCCCAAAAATCTACTATTGGTAATAAAACATTACCGGGAATGAGATTCCCGGCCAACCAAACATGGGAAATCCTTGAACCAAACACCCCCTAAAGGTAACGATGCTAGCCATGTCCAGACACGAAATTTTTGTTCCTCTTTGTTTGTATTGCCCAATGATGTAACTGAGCCACTTGATGAAGGATATGCTTAGGAAGAAAACTATTTTTGAAAGTAGAATTACCTCTATCACTCAGCAAACAAGGTCTGACATAATTATCAGCAGGCAGACTCTGATTTGTACTATTTTTTCTTACATCCTTAGATGATCCAAAATCATCTATAACTGCTAGAAACTGTTGAGAGCCAAGTGATGTGCCGATAGATTTATCCTTACTCTGGAGTAAAGGGGATAAAGCTGTCTTATTTCTAACTGATGATTGCAATCCATCAAAGCGAGGTGATGGTGATCTTGATCTTTCAGCGGCATTTCCAATACCTGATGCACATGGTTCTTGTTAAGATATCACTGTAGAGAAGATTGGATCACCCTAAATACAAAAAAATTGTACCTTCACCAAGCTGAACAGCTGCTTTCTCATCTTCTACAGCTACATCTTCCTCAGGCTGTTGTCTACAACACTACCTTTGATGTGAATAAAGTTACATGAACTTCCTTTAATACACCACCCTTTAACAAAGACGTCACATATAAGCGCAGCGCGTTTGTTCTCACTATTAAACTCATCACCAGGGGACAAACTTCCAGTACTAGTTCGTGGAGAAGCAGATCTGTAAAACCCATTGATTAGTTAAATAATGGATAAATAATCTTAGGAATGAAGAAATTTACTAGCAAAAAGGACATAATAAGAAGCTTGGTTTCAATTTCCTATGTTACAAAACACGTATAGGTATCACCAACCTTGATTTTATACTCCACTTATCATCCTCTGTTTGCATGCAACAACAACAACAACAACAACAACAACAAAACCCTATTCCCATAAGCAATGGTGTAAGGGGAGGTAGGGTAGTAGGCTGCCCCCAACGCCAGGTTGAGAGCAGCTTTCGTGGAAGACCTCCGGCAGTCAGAAAATTAAAAATAAAGATAAAATACAATATATGTATAAATAAATAAATAAATACATAGTTGAACATGCTTCATATGCAGTATTCATATGCGCGTCTGTAATGGGCAGTAATCCCTGCAAATAAATCTCTGCATATAGACATAAACGTAAGTCCCGACTAAATTTAGAAAGAGAATGATACATAGTAGGCAGCGATGGCAAGCTACAAGAAGGAATAAAGTCAAATGGGTAAAAACCTAAACTAAGGCAACACTACTCTTCTACCTTAGTTCTAAGCCTTCATAAATTCCAATGCCAGAAATGTATAAAAAGTAGCAGTCATGGAAATTACTACAAATGCATTAAAAAAGAAGACAGAGATGTTACTCCCTATGGCTGTGACCCACACTACTCGGCTACCCTGGTCTTAAGTCTCCATACTTTCCTATCAGAGGTCATGTCATCGGTAAGGGCTAAATTCTTCAAATCAGATCTCAAGCAGTCTACCAACTTCCTTCTTGGTCGTCTTCTCCTTCTGGCACCGTTTACTGTAATCGACTCTACCCTCATGACTGCATTCGACAGTTGTCGCCTAAGGACATTCCCAAACCACCGTAGTCTTCCCTCCTTCAATTTTTCGGATACAGGCACCACTGCCAAGGACATCCTAATTACAGAGTTTGGTGTCATGTCCCACAGAGTCCTACCACATGCCCATCGAAGCATTCTCATTTATGCGGCCTCCATCCTCCTTACGTGATCCTTCTTGATTGCCCAACATTCTGATCCATACAGCAGCGCTGGTCTTATTGTCATTCTATAAAATTTTCCCTTAAGTTTTATAGGCACCTTCTTATCACACAAAGCTCCAGTAGCAGCCCTCCACTTTAGCCATCCCACCTTTATACGGTGAGTAACGTCATCATCTACACCCCCATCTTTCTATATCTTCATCATTTTTGTTCTCACTGAAGTTTGAACATAAATACTCTGTCTTTTTCAATATTGATCTTTAGACCTTTTTCTTCCAAAGCAGTCTTCCAGGAAGTCAGTCGACTATTAAACTCATTTTTTGTTTCAGTAACTAGGACAATGTCGTCAGCGAAAAGCATACACCATGGAACACCGTTTGGTGTCGCACAATAGATGTCGTCCATAATCAAGGCGAAGATGTAAGGGCTAAGAGCGGACCCCTGGTGGAGTCTGATTTCCACCGAGAATGTCTCGGTGTCGCCAACTGTAGTCCTAACGTATGTAGTAGATCTACAATACATATCACGAATCGCCCGGATATAAGCAGTTGTGATCCGTCTCGTTTCCAAGGTATTCCAGATTGTATCGCGAGGTACGCTATCATACGCCTTCTCAAGGTCAATGAACGCCATGTGAAGATCTCTATTTTTTCCCTATATTTCTCCATAAGCCATCGAAGTAGATGAATCGCCTCCGTAGTAGACCTGTATGGCATAAAGCCAAATTGGTTTTCCAAAACCCTAGTAACCTGTCTCAATCTAGCCTCGATCAGCCTTTTGTCTCAACCTAGCCTCGATCACCCTTTCCCATAGCTTCATAGTATGACTGAGTAGTTTAATACCTTTGTAGTTACCACAACGTTGATGATCTCTTTTATTCTTATAGATTGGTATCACCGTAGACTCTCTCCACTCATCTGACATCTTGACAGTCTCTAAAATAATATTAAAGATGTTGGTCAACCACTTAACTCCCTCTTCTCCTAGGGTCAACCACACAGTGATAGGAATTTGATATGGACCAAAAGCTTTGTCCCTCCCCATCTTTCTAAGGGTCATTTTGACTTCCTCAATCCCAATCCTACTTGTAGGGCAGTCAGCCGTAGTATGATGGTCGGTTGACCCATCAACGTTACTATCTCTACAGAGAGAGGCACCGTTATTAAATAAGCTAAAGAAGTAACTACTCATACCCTCTTAATATCATGATCTTTCTGTAACATCCTCAATACCGAGTTAGTGACTAAATTGTAAAGTCTCAGAATTTGGTAGTTAAATAAAATGAATGAATAGTATAAAGATTTACATGTAAATTATTATGTAGGATGGAATGGAAGGACAATAGAGTAATTGCAAGGAAAAATAATTAAAGAAAGGATAATTATATATATATATAAGGATACACGTGGGTGGAAGGGGAGAAAACACCCAAGGCTTCCATAGTTCTCTTCTTCTTCTTTCTTCCTTGTGCATGTGAACGAAAACAAAGGTAAGATTTCTAATTATTGAGTTTCTTGTTAAATTTAAGATTGGTTTTTGATTATTAGATGATAACTAAGCTTAAGGAAAACTTAAGTTATCTTAACATCAAAGGATGATGGAGTTAGGAGAGATTTAAGATTTGAAGTTCTTAAATGAAATATTGGAATAAAGTTCATAACTAGAATTGAAAGTTAAATTTGACTTGTCATCAATCTAGTTAAGATATACGAAGTGTTAAAAGTGGAATTCAAACATGATGAATTATTGATGTAATTCTTGAATTACATATGAATTATAAGATTTGGAAGTTTAAGATGGAATGAATAAGTATAAATTGGTTTAAGGATGTGTACTATAGTTAAGAATGAAAAAGGGGATTAAATATGAAGGATTTATTCCAAAATGAATGAATTTTCGAGTTCAAAAAGAGGATTCCGGGCAGAGTGCATCGATGCATATTCATAGTACATCGATGCATCAAGGTTAAAACCCAGAAATTGTTTGAAGGTATATCGATGCATAGGTTGTGCGTCGATGCACTATTTTAAAATATAAACATCGAATGTAATTAGTGCATCGATGCATAAGGCATGCATCGATGCATTCCATTAATAATAAAACATCGAATGCATTTTATGCACCGATGCACAAGTAGTGCATCGATGCATACCTTCATTAAAAGAGGAAATTGACATTTATCTTAATCTAAAGAGTGAACCATTAGAGTATATTAGCTATAATACTGATATAGCCATGTGTGATTATGTAGATACTAAAAGTAAGCTTATTCCAGAACGATCAAATGATTAGAATCGAATCAAAGCAAAGCTAAGGTGAGTGCATACTATATGTATAGTATAATGGAATAAGACTTGTGATAAGTCTAATTCCTATATTGATTTTCATAGTACAATAGTTGTGAACATGCATACATGATAATTATTGTAATACATGCATAAGGCATATATATGTTCAGTGATTGGATAAATGATGTATATATATGAATAGATTCAAATACACATGTGATATGATATGTGATATGAGAACATGACATGAACTATATGATCACAAAAGAAATGACATGAGCTACATGATCACAAGAGAAATGACATGAGTACATGAACATATGAAATATAAGAATAATGCCCATAGTATACGATATGAGAGCTATAGGTGTAATTGGCATGCCAAGAGTCGAGGGTATAATAGTCCTTCGGGATATAGTGGTCCTACGGGACATATATGACAGTCATTCGGAACGAATACTGAACTAAGGTTCGGTGCCCCATGAGGAAATTGATATGAGCTGTGGTGACATCATTAGTGCACAACCTCAATGTACTCACATACCTCTTTTCTCAATAATATACATGGGCAATTGAAATACAAAGTAAAGTGAAAGTGGTACAAGAAGGTAAGTTTTGTACATGCATGATATGATTATATATGTTATTGTGTAATAGATACATGCATATTGAAATGTCATGAAAGAAATGGTAAGAATGCATATTCATGAAGATATTGTTGCATATTCATTTATTGTCTCACTAAGTTTATGACTTAGCGTGTAAGTGATTTACACGTAGGTACCAAGAAATAAGAAGATTCAGAATAGAAGTGGCACGGACAACAACATTACTAAGAAATCAGATCAGAAGTAATTGATAAAGTAGGTATTTTGTTGTGTATAAAGTGTTGGTATATAATAAGTGATTAATTACGAATGCTCTGATCGATTTTGTATTAAGTGGTCTCTTTTATGTAAATTAAAGTATTTTGTTTTAATGAAAGTTTTAAATTCCCGGGATTTTTCTTTAAGAATCAAAGTTTGAAAAGTCAATGTGACATCTCGTACTTGTATTCAGGTCGAATATGAGTTAGGAGTGTTACATTTAATGGTATCAGAGCTACAGTTTAGTTGATTCTCGGCATAAACCGGAGTCTAGAGTGTTTGATAATGTATACATACCAACAAAATAGTGGAAACTTCTGATCTGATGGAATAGTAAGTATGATGATTTGCTAATAGAACTATATGGTTGTATTTTTATAGATGTTCGGATGAGGTAGTTCTAAGAATGAAGCGGGAGATGATAGACCCGCTGAAAGTAGTAATTCACATGCCCTGACCAGGCAGAGTGAAGAGCAGACATCCTCTGGAATGCCTGTAAATGATCAAGATATATTCTTTAGAACGTTAGACGTGTTTCCAACCTCCTGTTACTTCAACTCTAAAAATGAATGTTGCGAAAGAGTTAAAGGGATTAGGAGCTCTAGAGTTTAGAGGGGAAGTCGATGAAGGTCCTGTTACTGCGGACCTTTGGCTTAATGACGTGAAGGTCATTCTTACGGGACTTCATTTTTCCGATGCTGAGAAGATGGATGGAGTAATTTCCTTGTTGAGAGAACAAGCAAGGATCTGGTGGACCAATGTTACATTGAGGATGTCTAACGCCCAAGTAACTTGGTCATTGTTTTTAGAAGAATTCAAGCATAAGTACATCAGAGATCAATTTGTTTGTCAAATGAAGCAAGAGTTCATGAATATGAAGCAATGGAATCACAATGTATATGAGTACGAGTGTGAATTCAATAAGTTGATCCGTTTTGCTGTCGAGTTAATTCCTACGGAGAAGGATACTTGTGAGTGGTTTGTAGA